GCAAGTTATAACAGTTGTAGTTGTTTGGATGATTAGTGCAAATTACAGCACTGATGTAAACCACTATGTTTGTAAGGATTGCTTTTGATTTTAATTCTGACAGCTGCAGGGAGGACGGACCTGTGGACACAGTCCTTCAGGCATTTAGGATGCAGCAGTCTGTCACTGAAGGAGCTTTGCAGTTCAGCAACGTTACATGCATGGGCTGGAAGACTCTGTACAAAATATATATGAATATAACTCTTTATATTCATGCAGTATTTATTTACTCACAAAACACTTTTTTTGAATCCACTGGTGTGAAGTGTTTAGTCTTAGTTCACTTAGTGCTTTACTTAACTCTAAAGTGTCAGTAACTGACCCATGCCGGGGTTTTTACACTATAAAAGGAAGGACGATTAGCTGGTGTTTGCATTTTGTGATCACATGAAGTGTTTTGCAAGTATTTGATGTTATTTTTAGCTATTAGTTTCATGCATCATTGACACTAAAAGGACTTATTGTATAACAGGTCACTGAACTACACTTTTGTTCACTAACTGTTCGTTAGTTCACTATTAGTGTACACCATATCTGTTGCTGACACATTTAGCTCAGACAGGAAACACACATGTCATTGTTGAGGCTGCAGTGAGTGCAAAGGTGGAAGTCCTCCTAAGACCACAGAAAGAGAAAAATAAAAAAGAAGAGGGGCGCTTACAAGGTAATGTATACTATCTCTCTGAAAACACCTGTATGAAACTGTTGCAGTTTTTGAGCCATGGGCCACGCCCTGTAATGGTGACAAAATTATGTCAATACATTACCTTTAAAGACAGAGAATCAGAGAAAAAACAGTGTATACTTTATTATGTTATTAACACTGAATTTGCAGTGGCCCTTGTTTGTTTGTTGTTTTCCACTACAGTGAAAACGCCTGGTTTGAGAGTTCACAGCAAGATTTCCATAACAGTTTGCCTCTCAACAAGCGCCTGGCTTTATAAGCTAGCATGAGAGCTGATATCTCACATTTGCAAGGGGTAGCTGATCAGTATGAAGTCGGTTAAAGGGGGGGCAGGGCTAAACATCTTAATTAGTCTGTACTAAATTTACTATATAAACTGCCTAGGCTACTTGGAGTAGCAACAGCTTCTGGAAATGACTTTTATAACGCTCAGTTGCTTACAAATTATGCACATCACATATCCTCCTCTGGAAATGACCACTACAGACCCTTATATTGCCTTTGTCACCACTGTTTACAAACTGTACATGGTCTATAGAGATAAAGTAAATAGTGCATTTTCCCCATCTACAGGGAGTGCAGAATTATTAGGCAAATGAGTATTTTGTCCACATCATCCTCTTCATGCATGTTGTCTTACTCCAAGCTGTATAGGCCCGAAAGCCTACTACCAATTAAGCATATTAGGTAATAATAATAATAATAATAATAATAATAATAATAATAATGGATTG